GATGGAGTGTCAGACATGCCAGTGTACTGTACGCTATGGGGAACTCCATCACTGTTCCAACTACTGACTGGTGTCAAGGGGCCCTGAGACAGACCCTCGTCCCTAAGCCTCTCTAAGCCCATCCATGAAGGGCCAACAATTATTGAACAGGCAGCAGATGCATAGCAGTGCTTGAGGAGCCACAGTGAGCAGGAAATGATCTGAAATGCATCCTGTACTCTGAATTTTTTAGACTGACTGATTGATAGAGTGATTTTTTCTGTTACATGTACTGTAGTTGCTTGTCCACGCTGGTTGTCATAGTACATATGAAAACTCATGTTCATCATGAGTGATACTTTAGCAATGGATGCTTCGCCATTTTTCAGGAAGGCAGGATTCAAATTCTTTGCAGAAAATAATGTTAAAAACTGAAAAGACCGATATGCAATCTTTTAATGAGGCATTTGCATTTTTGAGTGATGATAAAACGGTGAATATAATCTGATCTTATTAAATAGATTTACATTTTAATACAAACTGACTTACATCACATTCAATGTATAATTTATTTCAATGCATGCATGGCATGGGAATTGAACCCATGACCTTTGGCATTGTAAGTGCTATACTCTACTGTTTGAGCTACACCTACAGAAATTCAAAACATTTTCTGTACAAAGGTGGTTTGGATCAGGCTTGTAAAAAAATGAATTTTCTCTCCATTCACAAGTTCACACTTACATATAATTAGATAGAGTAAAGGTTTATGCGTATTTGGCGTGCTGTCCGGGGGAGGGATCCGAGCTCGGAATTTGGCCCAAACCCAGAGTAGCTACTCCTCCCCGTGCTCGGAATAGTTAGGACTAAAAGTGTGGAGATGGGGTGGTGGAGGAATGCTGATAAACTGTCAACGAACAGAGGTAAGTCTGCTGTATATACCTCTTATATAATAATAATAATAAAAAATATAAGGTCATATATAGTTCAGAGTTAACAATAGAGTCCATGTTTGTCTTTATTTAAAGCAACACCAAGGAACTTTTCCTCTGCGCTCTCTGTTTATCCAGCACCGGCTTTGGAATCAACAATGGCCACAGACAATTTGAGGAAGTGGTGGGTGAAGTGACGTATGCCTTAAGCAGTTTAATTTTGTAGTTCTTTTTGTGCCCCGGTTACTACCCGAAACCCGAAGTTACATAGTGCAAGTAAAAGCGATACAGACCACGTCAGGCTATGGTAGACGTGTCATTTAACATATTGTAAGTCGATGTACCATCACAAGAGTCTTGGAAATATATTATGAAGGTTGAAAAACTACATAGTGTTACTTTTATTTAAGCTAAATACCAGTTTTTGATAATTGGGAGCTCAAGTCAAGGGATTTTGCTTTTACAGATAAAGCAGTTGGTTGGTGGGTATGCAAGCACACTGCAACAGTGAAGTGTCTTCGTGGGCTTCAAATAGGACAGAACATCTCCATCAAGGTACTTCAATCACTTCAGCTCAGATTCTGAAAGTAAGATGAAAAGGGAAATGCACTTCTCCACTCTAGGTGCAATGGGAGCTTTGTACAATTAAAAGACTTTCAGATCACCAGAGGCATTAAAAATGAATCCCAGCCACTAAATGGACTATCTCCACACTCATCAGAGATCATACGGCTCCTAGTGGAAATCTGTGACAGCTGTTAAGAAAAGACCTCACTAATACACTCGAGCATAAATGCACACATAAGCATATGAATGCATAAGTGAGACTGTCTTTACTACATGTGGAGTTTTTTATGTATTTCAACAAAGTCCTGAACATACTGGATGGATAATGATTTATTGAAATTGTCCCCTGACTCTCCTGATGAACCTTCAAACAGTGTGAGACAGAACACTGACAAATCTTTTTTTGACTGTCTTCTTTTTATACTATTTGTAAATGGTGTCTCTCGCCAGTAATCTGGAATACATACCAAAGACACTTTAACAACAGCAGCATTGCTCTTTCTGGAAACAAACAACATTATCATAAGATTCATGATGTATACAACACCTACCGCATGCAACCGCACGCGGCCTAGTACTTCAGACTGTTTCCCGACTGCTTTGTTCCCCCCTGGATGTCAGAGCGCCGTCCTGATGGTAATTTGTTGCTAATCAGCTGTCAGCTCACAAGTGATGATGAGGCGATCATTTTGCAGTGGCGGTAGGTAATGGCCTTAAAAGTCACAGAGTCAATGTCAATGGGATCTCTCAGATTCAATCAGGAAGAAGCCATGACGGATGGCCCCTGCTGACATAACCACTCATTTTGAGCCCAAGCATCTGGGCCCTAGTAAATAACCATCAGAGGGTGGGTCCAAGGGACAGGTCATTAGCCATGAGAAAAATAAATATCTCTTCTCTATGAAGGCTGCAAGTCATTTAGCACAGACTAGGAAATTTTACTCAAGATTAAGTATGATGAGCTAATATGAGTCAGAGGAGGCTGTACCGCATAGCGCTGTGATGAGACAGAGAGGAAATTCATACGCAGGATCTGGCTGGTGAATAGGATTTGAAAGATCTGACATGTTGGCTTAGGGGTTGTACAAAAATCCATGCATTGCACAGACCCTTAAAGTATAAACGTTTATAAAGGGACGGATGCTCCTACGCCCCAGAAAATTCCTTGTTAAGCATCTACATGTGGGATTACTGGCAGTTAATAATGTTGGCGGACATCTGTGAAACACCAACCACTCTATCTCTATTCCTTTCTCATTTTGTTTAATGAAGAAGAGCTTTAATTAGCTAATTAAGCTTTTCTGAGACAGAAACTCCCACCCAGCAGGTTAAAGATTTAGTAACTTTGAACTATCCCAGCATTAAGAGCTGAGCAAGGTCATTGATCAAATTCTTGCAGAGAGGACCTAAATTTAGCACTTTATCCAGGAGGAATGCACCACTGTTCTCAAAATGAACTGCAGTTATTCTATTTTTTTTACATGTCTCACTGGAATACTGGATTTTGATTGGTCAATCATGGCATTCTGAGCTCAGAGGTTTCCTAAGGGACCTTTTTCACATTTCCGTGATTGGAACGCGAAAGTAAACTATTGGGTAAACTTCTATAAAGAAATGGAGATTATAGCAAACAGAGTTTGTGAATAGCACTATTGCGTTTCCACAACTTTGCAAGAATGGGGCAACAATGTAGAGAGATCAGCAGTCAGACAAGAGAAAGATGTCAAAATTACGGTTCTGTGAAAATGGTCCATTGTGCCTGTCAATGTTTTAGTCATTCTTTCTCCACTCCAGCCCTTGGGGTCCACTTCCAGAATGCTTTAGATATCTCCCTATTTTTCACTCTAAGAAGCTGATGATTTGAATCAGGTGTTTTAATTTGTGAGACATCTAAAACATTCTGGTAGAAAGTCTGGAATACACTAAATTACTTTTGCCTCATCGCCTTCTTTAACTCACAGCAGACTGGCAGTTAGAATGGTTAAGGATATTCTTCTCTGATTTTGACTAAAGACTATGAAGACAAAAACATTTTTTTTGTGTGTGTGGCTTAATTGTTATGTGGATTAATTACAGATTAAGGTTCACACTCCATTTTAAGAAAATAGTTACACTTTTTACATGTAGGCCTACTTACTATAGTAATAACAGTAGTTTATGCATAATTACAAGTAACCAACACTAAACCACCTTAACCCTAACTGTAACCATTAATATTAATTTTACTCAGTACTTATTTGAGTAAGTACAATGTAACTACGGCACCTTAAAATAAAGTGTAACCCAGATTAATTGTGCATCACAAGACTAATGTGCGTATACAAAGTGGCCCATTTTGATTTAATGCAGACTTTAAGTATTTACGTTTTTTTTTTACTTCAGATTTTTCTTTCGTACATAAAGCCAGTAGTCACCAATAGGCTTTAAAATTGACAGTGATTTTAAACTTGACAAGCAGATAAACATGGTGGTTAAATCCAGTTTTTATCATTCGAGGCTTTTATCTAAAATTAAACCTGTTTGATCTTTTGATCTTTTTGAGCATGTGATTCATGCTTTTATTTCGACCCGTTTGGACTACTGTAATGCACTTTACATTGGCGTGAACCAAACCTCCCTTTCACACCTATTAGTCCAAAATGCAGCTGCTCGTCTGTTAACAGGAACCCGGAAACACGAGCACATTACTCCCATCTTGGCCTCGCTCCACTGGCTCCCTGTACATTTTAGAATACATTTTAAGATTTTAATGTTTGTTTTTAAGTCACTAAATGGGTTGGCACCTCAGTACATCTCTGAGCTCTTGCACACTTACACCCCTTCAAGGTCACTGAGGTCTGCTGATCAGCTGCGGCTGAACGTGCCCAGGACCAGGCTGAAGACCAGAGGCAACCGCTCTTTTTCAGCAGTTGCCCCCAAATTGTGGAATGACTTACCTCCGCACATTAAAGTTGCGCCCACCCTCCACACCTTTAAATCGCGTTTAAAAACATGTTTATTCCCTGGCTTTTGATTCATCATGAGAGCTGCTGTGCATGGTCTTCGTTGTCGCTGTCATTGTTGATGTTATTTGTTTATTTGTTTTTATTTTTATCTCTGTAAAGCACTTTGGGAACCTTGTTGTTTGTTTAAATTGTGCTATATAAATAAAGTGGATTGGATTGGATTGGATTCTTGGTAGAAACTTTAAGATAATAGGACAAATTATACAAAAATTCTCAAATTAAAAAAGTCCACCTATTTATTTATTTGGTAAAAAGCTGTGTAAAACAATACTGACATACAGCATAGTAGGCTACATTCTAACATACAAAGACAAAATGTCCCTCATGTCTCTGTTCTGTCATTAATTCAATTAATAGTAATGACTTGTATCCATCACGCCACACTCAATATAAACATTATCATATTAACCTCCAAAAATCTATTCTCGTTCTATCAACATAATTAATTTAGCCTGCAAGTGGGGGTTATCTGAATAATTGACACCAACTCTAAGATATGAAATATTCATATTCTCACCGCGTGACTGCAATATGATTGCAAATAGCAGGTGTCTCCTTCCAAATGACTTTTGGACCGGGCAGGAGGGTGGCATGTCTGCAGTACTGCAGGACCTCCGGGGTTGAGCACTGACCTTCATGCAGTGGTCCATCTTCACAGTTGAGTTCATGCATCATCTCGGTAACACAGACACGCTGGTCATATATCTCTGTTTCACGCCAGGTCTCACACTCAGCAACTCTGAGGGAAGCACCATTAGGTATAATGCTTTCTCTCTCGCCCTCATTTTGGCAGCCAATATCCAATGGATATTTAGAGAGGAGCACGATGGTGCTGGAGGCAGGGGAGAAATAAATTGGTTTCCTGTTGTCCAGTATAAGAAAGATTAGTGAATAATATCTGAGTAATATTAGAGAAAAAAAAGGTGATGAAATATATTGCACAAGTTATCACAAATCTGGTTTTTGCTTTGTCATAAGGTTGCAACATGCAAATGTGAATTTTTTTTTAATTAATATATATATATATATATATATATACACTCACCTAAAGGATGATTAGGAACACCTGTTCAATTTCTCATTAATGCAATTATCTAATCAACCAATCACATGGCAGTTGCTTCAATGCATTTAGGGGTGTGGTCCTGGTCAAGACAATCTCCTGAACTCCAAACTGAATGTCAGAATGGGAAAGAAAGGTGATTTAAGCTATTTTGAGCGTGGCATGGTTGTTGGTGCCAGACGGGCCGGTCTGAGTATTTCACAATCTGCTCAGTTACTGGGATTTTCACACACAACCATTTCAGAATGGTGTGAAAAGGGAAAAACATCCCGTATGCGGCAGTCCTGTGGGCGAAAATGCCTTTTTGATGCTAGAGGTCAGAGGAGAATGGGCCGACTGATTCAAGCTGATAGAAGAGCAACTTTGACTGAAATAACCACTTGTTACAACCGAGGTATGCAGCAAAGCATTTGTGAAGCCACAACACGCACAACCTTGAGGCGGATGGGCTACAACAGCAGAAGACCCCACCGGGTACCACTCATCTCCACTACAAATAGGAAAAAGAGGCTACAATTTGCAAGAGCTCACCAAAATTGGACAGTTGAAGACTGGAAAAATGTTGCCTGGTCTGATGAGTCTCGATTTCTGTTGAGACATTCAGATGGTAGAGTCAGAATTTGGCGTAAACAGAATAAGAACATGGATCCATCATGCCTTGTTACGACTGTGCAGGCTGGTGGTGGTGGTGTAATGGTGTGGGGGATGTTTTCTTGGCACACTTTAGGCCCCTTAGTGCCAATTGGGCATCGTTTAAATGCCACGGCCTACCTGAGCATTGTTTCTGACCATGTACATCCCCTTATGGCCACCATCTTCCCATCCTCTGATAGCTACTTTCAGCAGGATAATGCACCATATCACAAAGCTCGAATCATTTCAAATTGGTTTCTTGAACATGACAATGAGTTCACTGTACTAAAATGGCCCCCACAGTCACCAGATCTCAACCCAATAGAGCATCTTTGGGATGTGGTGGAACGGGAGCTTCGTGCCCTGGATGTGCATCCCACAAATCTCCATCAACTGCAAGATGCTATCCTATCAATATGGGCCAACATTTCTAAAGAATGCTTTCAGCACCTTGTTGAATCAATGCCACGTAGAATTAAGGCAGTTCTGAAGGCGAAAGGGGGTCAAACACAGTATTAGTATGGTGTTCCTAATAATCCTTTAGGTGAGTGTATGTATATATATATACAGTATATAAAATTTTGAATGAAGTGCATAAAACATTACATTGCGTCAGGGTTTCCCTAACTAGGGTTTGTGAAGGAACTACAGGGGGTTCACAAGTTTATGAAAAGTTAATAATTAAATGTTAAAAAAGTTAAATTCTAATTAATAAATATTTTGAAAATAAAAACATTCAAATAAAGCACAAACTAAAAAAAGATTAAATGTTTTATTTGTTTATGCTGGGCGTCCTCTCAATTTTCCATTATAGTCACCGGACTTGTGGCCAGTCTGTATGTGCAATTCCACAAAACTTTTGAGAGAGGAACATTTAAAAAATAAAAGAAGAATTAGGGAGAATCAATGAATTCGGAATAATTTGCTGCCATTTTGTGAATATTAAGTCATCATGCAATCAATAAAAAAACTGTATTCTGATTATGAGTATTTTAAAAAGTAATATAATCTTATAACAAGTATTCACTTTTTGGAATCTGATTACTTTATCAAGATTGCATATAATCAGTTACTACCGTGCACTGATCATTCCAGGATAAAAATCCACACACTCAACGACGTTACTTCCTCAGACAGTGCATTTTGTTTTCCATCTCATTCATTTGGACCCTGCAAAACTTCTCCAAATAACAACAGCCGAAACAAAACTAATCCTCTCATTTTTAATTGGATATTGTTAGTGAATAATTCATTAGCATTTTGAGCTGATGTTCCCCAATACTTTGCCAAAGACCGAAGCAATCTCACGTCCAAAAGCCAGACACACTGGTGGAAATAATGGTGGATATTTATCTGTGTTTCAGCAGTAGCCAAATCCCTGTTACAACCTGTCAATGGCTTAAAAACGCCTCAGGTGGTGAAATGTTTCTTTCTGCCCCACTCACTATATGAACTGATTAAATAAATAAAACTTAAAAATAACTCAAGTAGTAGACTAAGAAATAATAAACTTTCTGAGTTGACAGATTTAATTAAGAGATGCATTTGTGATATTTCAAATGCAATACAACACATTTCAGGGACTCCCACTCTTCTTTCCACAGTCCATCAGCATGATGCAGAGTTGTTGTAGCTCCATCTGCTAGCGTTAATGCTGTCCATATAACAAGCGCTTGTCAATTTAAGCTGTTTTATTGACTCATCTGTTGAGTTCGGCTTCAAACACAATAATCGTTCTCTCTCTCTTTTTTCCTCTTCTACTCTTTTTTTTTTTTTTTTTTATAAATGCATTTTCATGAATATATCTCACCCATGTGGTGGGGTGTTGTTTCTCACAGTTAATCACTGGGCAGATAAATCATGCACATATTTGGTGTCCATCTGCTGGGAAGGTACTGCAGCCTTTCCTCCTTTTCATTCGGCCTGATGGACAATAACACCAATGGAAGGCAATGAGATTCAGTGCCAGTAGGCTACACCTCTGCACTGGAACATGTTTTCACTGGGCCAGGATGTAGTGATGCGGGTGCTGTGGGGGCTGATTAGTGTGATAGAGCAAAATGTTCTTTTATTTGCCTATTTTGTCCCCATTCGTTCATTCATTCATTTGTTCATCCGTTCATTTGTGTTATTTTTTTTTTAGTCAATCATATTTTTTTGTGCTAATTGCATGTCTTGGTTCTTACATCAAAGTATTCCTCTGTTCTGTAAAAAAATTCTAAAGATACCCAGAAGTTATTTTTGAATGAACTTGGTATTGTTGGTAGTTCACATCTATCAGTCAATGTGTATCAGTCAATTTAAATCTAACTGAGCATATTCATAATTATCTTTATTATTCTCCTCTTGTGCCACGGAACAAACCCATTATTGTGTGTAGACGCTCACAACGTCATTCCTTTTTTAGGCTAAATTTGAGGGAATGCATCAGTGGCTGATTAGCGAGGGATCTCTGTTATTCTGTCATGGCCTTTATGACTCACTAAAGAGTGAATCACGCGTCACATTAGAACTGCTCCTTCAGTGGATGCTTAACGGCTCCTCGCCTTAAAAAAATCCCAAGCACCCCATCAATTATTTCCTAAGCAGCCATACTGAAGACATCACTTAGAACAGTGTGAGGGGCCGGAACTGTCACCATCATGACAGATGCACTGGAGGCAGAAGGGTCCCTGTAGAATGCACTTTGGACCATTTGAGACATGGCACTTACGTGGGATTGAAGAAGAGGAAATGATAAGATTGTAAGCCATCCTGAATTTATGCCCCTTCAAGCTTGACAGTGCAACATTTTTGCACAGATGCAGAAAGTCTTCAATGCATTTTTGATTTCTTAGAAAAAGAGGTCAGAGTGGTCATTTTGGACGTCTGTATTTGTGATTCCTGCAGCTGTGTATATGCACTGTGTCCATTCAGTCCAGTGTCTCTGGGGTTGCATGGGGACAAGAGCCAAGTTCAAGTGCAATGGCAGTGTACAGAACTAGATTAACTTTGTCATGCACCTGTCCCTGAAGACCAAACAGCACCTGATGACTGATAGCCCACTGTGAAGTTATATGCAGACAAATAATTTATTTAATGATTACTGAATGAAGACAGATTGAAAACTAATTGTGCTTTTCAGATACGACCAAAATGACAGGACAGTTTTTAAAAATAGTTTTATTGTGGTGATTTATTTTCTTCTTTAAGAAGCTTTAGCTTATATTAATACATTTCTTTGCTTTCTTTTCCCTTGTGTGTAAAATATAATTGAATTTTTAATGCTATTTTATGTCCAACATTTCGAATGACTGAAAAAGCCGTGTGTCACTAATTATACAACCGGTACTTTGATGTCCAGTAGTCATTAAAGACTCATTTGAGTCTGGAGAAAATTAATAGTGCATTAATCAATATGAACTAATTAGCTGATAACATGTTAATTAAATATCTTATTTAAGGTTCTGAGGCATGAAATGCTTAGTTTAGCGTGCAAGCCTCAGTCTTCCGGCAGCGTAAAGGTATTCTTGCTGTTGTCTAGTATAGTATGAGAGAGAGGAGGAGATTCTTTGAAGTATTCTCTTCCTCTCATTTACTCCCATAATGTTAAACACGATGTTCCTCCCTCTGAAGTGTGTCGCCTGATTTCCTCAGCTCTGATCAATCATAGTGTGTTAACAAAGCAAAGTGGTAATAAATGAACATTTGATCAGTCCTGCAGATGGGCATTTAAACCACCATATGCTTCCTGCTCCTTTTTGACACAGAGATCTAAACACATAGTGTTGAGCAGGATCAAGAATGGCAGAAAGCCAATACAAACTCATGTCTGGAGTCCCAGATCAGTGAGTTATTTTACTGTGAGCCATTATTGTTCCTTAATGTGAAATCAATAGGCCCCTGTGGAATAAAACGCTTGACCTGAAGATATGCTTTCTTGCTCCCTTCGCTATTTTAGGTGGAGGAGCATCATAAGCCACAGGCATTTAGGTAAGATACAAGGTGATAATATATATATATATATATATATATATATATACACACATACATACATACATACAGTATATCTATATATATATTTCTTATCAACTTATATATATATATATATATATAATTCCGCCTGTTTTTTTTTTTTAACCTTTTAACAATTCCTGTGAGCTATCATCGAGGTCTGGGGCCAGAGATCAATACTTTTGATGGAAAGTTATAATCAGCCC